AGCTATAAATATCGTGGTACTTGGTGAATTTCAAAGTCTTATCGAAATTGATGCGAACCGAAACGTGCTCTGTGATTTCAACAACTGAAGATGAATTCGCTGCAGATTATGAACATTCTCAAGAATGATCCGTTTACAAAAACGGTGTTTACGGACGTTTTACCGTCAGATCGTTTACCTCGCGAAATAAGAAAGAGGCCTAGAGGGTATATATTTAACACGGATGCCTCCGATATGCCCGGATCCCATTGGATTGCAATGTACCTTACAGAAGATGGTAAAGGCGAATTTTGGGATTCGTATGGTCAGGCTCCTGGATTTTACAATCAGAACTTTACTCAATTTTTGGACAAGCATTGCGCTACATTTACATGGAACAGAAGAATTTTGCAAGCCCCTTCATCAGACGTGTGCGGACAATATACATTATTCTTTGCTTTACATCGATGTAGACGTATTCCAATGTCAACCATTGCAAATATGTTTACGGATAGCAAAGAATGGAATGATGAGCTTGTGCGTGATTTTATAGACAAGTGGTACAAACACTATATTTAGTTTTAAATACATTTTATTGTAAAATTTTCTCTTACAAGAAATAAATTATTTTAACCATTTATATGGACTACTAATATTGTCTCTGCGTTTTTTCCTCTTTTCTTGCTGCACTCGAGGGGTGGTGGGTAGATTGTCCGGGATACCTTTGGTTTTATATTCGCGAACAATTCCAAGACGGTTTTCGTTTCTCACAATACCTTCGGGTACATTCATATGTCTGAGAACTTTTGAAAACAATTCCCAGCCGTCGGGGTTGAAATTCTTCCTTTGACGTAGAGAATCATTCACCAAATCAACTATATTTGTGCTAGGAACCGATCTTCCTTTGAACACCATCTGGCCTTGTTCATTCCAACCAATAAGATCCTTATTTGACTTGAGTTTTTTGATGAGTTGTCGAGCTCTTGACTTCATAGTAGCTGGTACACTGTCCATGATATCTGTTTCAATCTCGTCTGAAGGTTCAGGCTCTTCGCTCGGCTGTTCTGCTTGAGATTCTTCAAGTTTATCGGTATGCGTCACGTTTACTCGGAGAGGTTTATTCATTCGTTTATCATAAAAGGTTAAATAGCGTTGTAGATTCTGGTCGTATAACTTTGCCTTTTCATCAATTGGTATATCTTGTCGTCGAATAATATCTTGCATGTCCGAGTCTATTTCGTTGACCTGTGTCGCCAAAGGCGCCGCGAGTGGTTTCTTTCGCTGTTCAGCCATATGTTCAGGGACAAGTACTAATCGCTTGACGTGTTCCATTATAAAAAGTTAGCCAACTGTTCCAAAACTGAAGTGAGTAGAAACGGTAGGAAACCCTACCCTTTTTGAACTAGACGGGTTCTTCTTTTTACGATAGGATTTCGTTTGTCAGCCGCAAACTTTATATGCTTGGAATGTGGTGCAAGTTTTTTAGCTGTTTTCGGTTTCAGTTTAATCGTGTCAAACCAAACGTTTAATAGACACTGTCTTATAGCTTCAAACAGGTCGTCTTCAGCCGCTTTCAAAATAGCTTTTCTCAGTTCAGGTTTACACTTGGCCAATACTTTCAGAAGTTCGGAGTTCCTCTTCATACAAGCAGACATGATCAAATGACCATTTTACACACGTTCCCACTTTCTTATACTCTGGGTTGACAGACATAATGCGTATCTGTTGGAAAGATTCCGGATCGAATCCGTATCTCGTCAGGACACGTAGGAGTTAAGTCGACAAATAGATAAGAATAGGGATCTTTGGTTGCCAGTTGATAGGCTTGTTGAAAAAATTTGGTGTTACTGGGATACAGTTGTTTAGCGAGATGAATAATTTGACTTGCGTCTCGCACGTTTTTCGTTAAACATAAATAACTTGCATTGAGCGAAATTGTACGGTGTTCTTTGCTGTGATGAAATAAATTTTGTACAATGTAGACCACACTCAGGTTACCATGATGTGATTTTTTCGTGAATAATTTTGAAATAATACTATCCAGTATATCATCAGGTAAACCTTGTATAAATTTTATTCCAGGCACTAAATTTTGAATTTCTCCAAACGTATCTTGGTACTCGGCATGAAAATACACAATGTTTTCTGGAGGATTATCTATCATGACATTAAGATAACTCAAAAGTTTTTTCACAAATGTGGTTTTGCCTGACTTTGTACTGCCAGACACGAGAAGACCAAACGGATGTGTTAACTGTATGGAGTACATGTTGAAAATGAAATCATACATTTTGATGGTCACTATTTATGTCATGCGTCCTATGAGTCTATACAATTCAGTTAAAACTACTTCCAAGTCCAAAGGTGAACATTTGGCACGAATAAGGAAAGTTGTCTTTGTGTGGTGGAAAGTTCATGAACACCTGCTAAATGGTTAGATAATTTCAACAAATTTTTCTTACCACAAATCGGACAGTCTTTACGCTTTCGTGGCATGATGTACAATGAAGACCTTACCTGACGCCCATCTCTTATATAAATGTCCCGCACGGGACTTTTTTTGTCCCGGAAGTCCCGGAAACGCTCAAAGTGTCCCTGCGGGACTGTTTGTCCCGTGCGGGACTTATTTTGTCCCTGAAACTCTGCATGGGAGAGGGGGAGAAAGAAATATACAACATGTTTTGAAAAATATATATTGACTATTTACAAACTAAATATCTAAAGGAATTGTTGACACACCGTCCTCCAAAACTTTACGTTTTGGATAAAAATAACTAAAAGCGTTTTTAACTTGAACATATGTACACATAGCATTATTTAAAACCCTAAAACCCCTATTTACACCCGACCCACTACGTTTACTTAAAAGCACATCTAAATATTTATCTTTATTAATTACATTATTTTTCTTATTTACACCCTTGCAACTATATTTATCTTTCTCCCCAAAACAATAATCCTAGCTAATTAACTTAATCCTAATTACACTAAAACAACAACTTACCATGAAACTGAAACACCGTTTGTGATTCAGCGTGAAAACCGTCAACGGGGAGACGACGAGTGCCAATTCTTTTCTCCACTCGATCGCCATTTTCCCACTCCACCGTTTCTTAAATCCGTCCTCCTCTAACCGTCTTGTGTACTGCCCCGTTGGCATGTCTTGCATGATGGCCCACAAGTAGAGCGCATTGGCATCGTAACCAACTACATTTTTGCAGGGTTTCGATTCTTTTCCTCTGGCTCGCATTTCTTCCTTCCGTATGAATGATTTCTTTTTCTCGTGGTATCTGTTAAAGATAATGCTGGGGCCCCCTACGTTATTATCCTTCATTGAATAATACATATCCTTGTCCTTCTCGCTGAACAAGGAGAAGTAGGTGCCTGGAATGTTTGAAAATAAATATTTCATAGTTAAGCCAGGCACACTCACACCGTCCTTAAACATATCAATGTTCCTTTCTTGCCAGAAATTGCTCATTTTATCAATTGCTTCAAGGAAGGGGACTACGTCAAGGTTGTTATACCACACGAGAAAGTCGCGGAGAGTTGTCATATTCTGTTCGTCCCATACACCCTGGCAATACTCATTAGTCTAGGACCTGTATATGAGTTTGTATGCATTTCATTCAGCACAGGTAATCTCAACTGTTTTAGGGTAAAATGACCATGGCGGTCAACATGGCATATGTGCCAAAAGCTGAATCCGGGACGAAAGTCCTGAAAATGACCCCGCCCTGAAACGGCAGTGTCGACATAGCTCTAACTTCAGAAAACAAAAAGCGATAGTCTTTCTGAAGTGCTTATAGTGTTTAGAAGGGTTGCTTTTAGGGGTGGTCATTGGAAGAAAAATTTGTCTAAGTATAATATTTTACAAGAAAATGACCATGCACCACCCCAGGTAAATTGCTGATTATGCATAAAATAACTAATATGCCTGGCAGAAATTAAATATTCTTATTTCCTAAAAAAAATTATCATGGGGTTAAAAACTATGCTTAATTTAATATAAATATTGTTGATTTCATAAGGATTGTCATTGTTTTCTTTAAATATAATAAATTTTATTTCACTTACCCCCCACGAAAACGCGATTTCAGCCATATTTTGCCGTCTTGTTTGCTTTTTATTGCCGAATCACGCAAATATCATCCAGTTATTGTACTTTTACATAATCATAAATGGCTGAAAAAGATTTCAAAGAAGGTGTCATCCACTTTTGAAACAGTGCAGTGTATTTTATCTTCTATAATGTGTCCTTCGATTTCTCGTCAAATTGCCGCCATTTTAATGGCTCGCCGCTTCTCTGCCCAATAAATGCCACTTCTTCGTTTTCATATGTATTTAGATTAGTATACATTATCCAAGAGTACTTCATTGTAGAATAGCCCCAATCGAAAAATTGGAAATATTATTTGTACTTGGGAGGAAAAAACCTCCCAGTACAATTGTCCTGTTAGAATTCAAAAGAAAACACCTCGTGGATTACATAACAGGGGGGGTGAATATTTTCACGAAACGTTTGTTCGCATTAAGTTTGTTGATTCTTCGCATTAAGGCCCGGTGATCATTCAGGTACAACGAGCAGACGTGCGAAATTGAGCTCCGCCTATATTCGTAAAAATGCCTCCTAAATCAAAACCAAAATCTCAAAATATAACTACCGATAATGGCGGTGACGAGTATATATCCTTATCGACTGTTAAAGAATTAATGTCGCAGCACGAAAATGCCTTTAAAGTAATGATCGACTCTCTGATTAAATCTACTACATCAAGAGTAGATGGGTTTGTAAAAGATTTAGCTGAATTAAAATACAGCTTAAAATACTCGCAGAAAGATATAGCCTCACAACAGATAGAACTTGATAGAAATCAATCCGAGATTCAATCAATGAGCAATGAAATATCAAATATCAAGATGTCCCTTGATAAGTATTCTACAAAGACAGTTGATTTAGAAAACCGAAGTAGAAGAAACAACATACGAGTAACCGGCATTCCGGAGAAGCGAAGCGAAACGTGGGATGACTCGGAGGCAATGGTTAAATCTGTCCTTAAAGAGAAGCTAGGGCTAGCATCTGAGCCTCGCATCGAAAGAGCGCATCGCGTCGGTTATTCTACTAAACAGGATGGATCGCCTAGAAATGCTCCTAGACCGATTGTATGTCGTTTGTATGATTGGAAAGAGAAGGAACATGTTCTCAAACAGGCCAGAATACATAAGCCGTCTGGTATTTATGTAAATGATGATGTTGCCGAAGCCACAATGGTCAAACGACGTGAACAAATACATAAGTTGAAACAAGCAAAGCAGGAAGGGAAGATTGCTTATTTTGTCTTGGATAAACTCATAATTAAAGACAAACGATCTGGATAAAGTCAGTATTTACTTATTCTATAACTAATGTGTTTTATAGTAAGTTATTCAAATAATTAATATAAATATGGCTTCTATACCTATGAACTTCTTACCCTTTTCTGATTTAGATGATGAGAGCTTCTTATTGACTCTTTATGAATTTCAAAATGGGTCTATTAGTTATAATCAAGATAGATTAGGTACATTATTTTTTAATCCTTTATTATTAAATACAAGACACCATCTTGCTTTAAACAGCAACTTGGACC